AATCTGACGTCCCAGAACCAATTTCCACAGCAGAGGTCCTCTGGAAATAGGAGTTTACTTGAGCCTGGTACAGAGAGTACTGCCTGGGTTATAAGCTACTGATGTCTGCCCTGGTGTGAAGGGGAGCCTAGAGATGGCTGTGAGTGTTGGTTTAGAAACTTTGGGGCTTAGGAAGTAGACCAAGGAATGGTTGCCCTACCAATATCAGATAGGAATTACCACTCAATATAGTTGTGTCCCAGTTATTGGCAGGAAAACACCCCAAACAAAAACACCACAATCGTTTGATTATCAGATGGGTGGGGTCTTTCTCCTTTGTTTCAAACTATTTTCTTCCTTGGGGTAAAATATGATAGCTGAGGTGCAGTATTATGGAAGTGGCACTGTGCATGTAATATAAGATGCACATCTCTTATCTACATCTTTTTTTTTTCTAAATATATTTTTATTGATTTCAGAGTAAGATGCACATCTCTTATCTACATCTTTTTTTTTCTAAATATATTTTTATTGCTTTCAGAGAGTTTGGAAAGGGAGAGATGGAAACATCAATCATGAAAGAGAATCTTGATTGGCTGCTTCTTGCATGCCCCCTACTGAGGATCAAGCCCACAACCCGGGCCTGTGCCCCCAACCGGAATAGAGCCTGGGACCCTTCAGTCCCCAGGCCGATGTTCTATCCACTGAGCCAAACCAGCCTGGGCTCTTATCTACTTCTCTTATCTGACTATAGCAGTCTTCCATCACCCATCTCCAACAATGGCACCGGGCTATCATAGCATACATCATTCATTCAGGAGAGGACCTACCTACTAGGTCATATTGTTTTCTATTTTTCTTAGTCTCAATTTTCTCATTCACAAAATGGACATAAAAATATATGTTATGGCTACCTCATCCCATGGAAGGGCATATTAGATAATGTACAACATATAAATTAAGAAATTATTTCAAATGCTAGTGTTTTGCATAAATTGAGAATTGAACTTGCTCTAAGCTAACCCCCACTTGCTGTGGGAACTGAGTATCCATTTTATCCACACAAGATAGGTAGAGATAGAAAGTGAGTAACACTATGAACTGATGGTTAGAATTTCTTTTTTAAGGATTTTTTTAATGGGATATGGTGATTTGACCTTATGAGTCACACAGTGTTCTTCAGTGACTTGTAATTGGCTCAGTGCAGGTTCCCTAAGTTTTCTCCTCTAACTTCCTTAGTTATGTGAGATGTTATCATTTATGCTCCTGATTTCCTGAAATTCCCATTGTTAAAGTACTATGCACAGGAGACATCTGATAGCCAAGAAGTCTTTCCAGGTCATTCAGATGAGTTTCTAATGATTATTTTTTGAAGGCAGGAAGTCACAAATTGCCAAGAGTAAAAGAACTTGAAAACACAGAGGTGTTTTCTGATCTTCAAGGGACTGATTATATTTCTGAATGGAAGGCCTTATTTGATTGAAATAACCTGCTATGCATTTCTTATGTTCATGACTTAGGTAACTCAAGTACACATTCTGATTAATAGCTGAAATAATTGATCTGATTAGCCTATTTTACATAACTATGATTTAGAAATGTATTTTAAAAAGAAGTAAAATTTATTTTTACCTAAGCTGTAGATCTTGACTCTGAGATTACTATTTTAAGGATGTTATAGGTAGCTTATATTGCAGGTAGCCCTAACTACTCTAGAAATTTATATATATAGTGTCCCAAAAATGTATACACACACGTTGAATAATTATAAAGGAAGTGTTTATTAAACTACATTTCATTTTCAAAATTGAGCTATCAGCTGTTAAAGTGTGTATACATTTTTTGGGGATACCCTGTGTATATATATAGTATGACATTAATTTTACTTCCAAATTATGACATGTAAGGAACAATTGAGAATGGAAAATTATATGATCCCTTCATGTTATTGCAAGTGTGGGCCAGGGTCTATATTCTGTATATAACAGTCACTTGGGTTCTATTTTGTGGGGGATTGAGAATCTAGGAGCACCAAATATTTCCAGGGAAACAAATGACTGTGTCCGGAAATCCTCTTCATGGGCAAATATGACCTGTGCCTCCATAGACTTGCCCATTTCTTTTCCAGTAACCATGGGTTCCCCAGGACTGTTCTCAGATCCCTCTCTTTTCTGGGTTCCTATAACATAGAAGACTGTATATAAAGGTGTGGAAAACTGTGTGACAGCATTTGACTTTGTCTCTAATTATTTGTGGATGTGCCCAGTTCCCACTTGTACTGTAAGTACCTTTAAGAGGAGCCCCATTGTGTACTTCGATATTTCCCAGAATCTAGCACAGTACTGGGCACATAGTAAGCACTCAATAAACACGTAGTTAATCAACATTAACTGGGAAACTTCTCAAGGTCTGGGATTCTGTTTTAAATTACCTACATGGTACCTCATATAAGGCCACGTGCTCATAGGTGCTTATTGATTGATTTGATTGAAACTATAAACAGAATACCCATTCAAGTCTTTAACTCCTGTGATGATGCAAACTTGGGCCCCCAGTCTTTTTCCTCATTTAACTTATCTGGCCCCAACAGTTTTAAATTTAATACTTCTATCTGAGATTGCCTCTAAAAGTTGCATTAGAGAAGATTCTTAATTCTTCAAGTCATCAGAGGTAGAAGAGATTAGAAAAGTTTTCACTTCAATCCTTCTAATGGCATGATGAGGAAATAGGTCCATTGTGGTTAAGTAATTTGTCCAAGGTTATCCATTCATCCATTTAATGTTACATTTGAGTACCCATTTTATTCTAGATGACACGGTGAGTTAAGAGTAGAGACTCTTATTTCCTAACTCTTCAGCCATAGTCCCCGTTCCAATCCCAACCTCAATTTGGCTACCGTTAAATATTTAGCACTTAGTGCAGTGAAATCATTCCCTCCTCTCCCCTGTCCTAAACACACATTAGAGAAATCATATGTCCAAGATTTCTGCTGGGCCCTACTTATGATGTCTATTTCCAACTTTTTCATAATTACAGCAGCCCTTACGGCAAGGAGATTTCATAACAAAGGTAAGACAAGACTATTTTTTTTTAAATATTGCCGAGAAGTTTTTGAAAAATTTACAATGTTCATGATAAGTGAGGAACCCTTGGCAAATCACAGAAACAAAATGGGATTTGGGAATCCAGGTCTCAGAGGATTGGAATGACTGTTTGGCCGAGTATGTGATGACTTAAGGGCTCTGATATTGACAGGCTTATAGGACCGGGCTAGGAAAGAGATTTGTCACTCCACAGCAGCTCTCGTCTTAGATAAGTAGCTTCACTTTTCTGTGCTTGAAGGAGACCAAAATTAGTAGCTCCTGTTAAGTCCAGGCTATAAAATTATATGCTTAGCCATGTAAAACTAACAATTTTTTTTTTTTTTGGTAAAGATGGTGACTGGACTAGTGATTGTGGATACACTAAAGATCATGGGCAGAGACTTTTGTGTGATTTAGGAGCTTGGTTGAGTTCTGCAGCCCCCGGATGCCTTCAGCAGTGAAGGGTGAGGAATTGGGGAGGTGGCACTTTGTTCCCTGTGGCCTTTGCAAAGCTGTGGGATATTCCTGCCCAAAATGCTGCCTGGGTTTGTGAGAGGAACACACCAGGGTTACAAGAAATGGAAATTAAAGGCATCATGGGCAGGGTTGTTCCCAGGCCTAGAACCTGCTACAGGTGAGTGAACATGGCAGCAAGGTGGCCTGGCATTCTGTGCCATCCTTGCCCCTCCCTGCTGGTGTCAAGGACTGATGCCCAAAAGATCATAACCTCTAACAGCATTGCAAAGTTAAGTGCCAGGGTAACACACCGCTGTTTCCAACCTTTATGTATGTACCTATTTCCAGGGGAAGCAATCAGATGGGTGGCTTAGAGAAACAGCTTCTTAGGTTTGGCTTGAAGTATCATTTGGCCTAAGAAAATTGTCCTAGCTAATCTGAGCTTGGAAATTCTTAGGAGATACAGTTCTTGGCACTGGGGCTCTGAAAGTAAAACAGTTAAAAAATTACAGAAAATACTCTGGTAAATCTGACACTGGCCTTCTCCATCAGTCTACTTGTCGCCCCCTCCTCCCCTATGGGTACGGAAGACACACAGGAAAGGACCATCTGGCCCAGCATGCCAGCTTTTTATTTGGTTGCTCTCAATCCTACCTTCCTGTTTGGATCACCCCTCTCCTCTGCCCATACTTCAGAAACCAATCAAGGTGTCTCCTGAGCTCATTTATTCCCTTTGTTTCAGCCGCCTTCTTGGGTAACTTTTTCCATATGCTTACATCCTTGCCTCACAACGGATTTTTTCTTTCTTTCTCATCCAAAATGGCCTGATTGAACTCTTAGAAAAGGCCATGTACTCGGATATAGGACAAAGTGCTTCTAAAGATCCCCAAGAACGTTTCATTACTTTTGATGACCAGGATATATATGGGGGGGGGGCGCGGAGAAATTGCTATGTTTAAAAGTAATTGACTGATGGGCAGTGATGCCAAGTAGGATGGAATTCAAGAACACGTTGTTAGCATTGAAACCTCCCCTTCCCCCCCGAAGTGCACGAGTCCAATCTAGGTTTGGAGCTAGAGTCTGTTGTTGTTGTTATTATTATTACTATTATTAAAATGTGGCCTTTATGTACTTTGTTGCCCCAGCTTGGCTTCAAGCCCTTCAACATGGTGACATTAGTATTCTTTATATTGCCTGTTGTGGACCAATTTTCTTCAGCTGTTGCTAAAACTTACTAAAATGCCAGATGTCATGTTGGAAACATGAAACCTGAAAGAAGGTCATAAATCACAAAAACAAACCATAAAAAAAATAATAAAATACCCTGAGTGCTGTGCTCTGGAGCTTCCCAGCTTCAAGTCTCCCTTTGTTCACCTCTCCCCCTCTCCACTCTGCCGCTCTCCCCACCTCCATCTTTCAGGGTTGGGGTGTTGGGGGGTGTCCAGCAGTTTCTCACCCAAGGCTTGATGGTGTGTTTTGCAGATTCTGAGCAGAGCACGGGTTCAGACTCGGAGGTGCTGGCTGAGCGGACTTCCTGCTCCTTTGACACGCACGCTGACCTGGGCCCGGGTGCTGCAGGCGCCGTGCCTGCTGCCATGGCTTCCATGGAGGAGATCCAGGTGGAGCTGCAGTGCGCTGACCTCTGGAAGCGGTTCCATGACATTGGGACTGAGATGATCATCACCAAAGCGGGCAGGTAAGAACACATTCCTTCGAATGGCCACATTTAAAGAACAGAGGTCAAAGTAGGAGCTGTTCTATTTATTCCTTTCACTTATTGGTGGTAGGTAGCACTGGTGAAGCCAAAGTCACGTGCACTCATGTTTTTGCATCTGGACATCTTGACGAAATGATCTTGTGTTTTCTGTGACTTTGCCATCTTTCTCCAAGGGCCACTGAAACCTAAATCACCTCTATCCTCACAAACATTTCTGCCTACACATATCTTTCAGTTAATATTGGAGATCCGTGGTACGTAACAGCCAAACTGAATGCCAAAGCAAATGTTTCTTCACCATCCATCGTTCTCAACAGAACAAGTTTGCTCCCCAAGCAACAGCTTGCATCTTCTAAGGCATTTAAAGCAGCCAGATGTTTTTGTAAGAATTTTGGTTCTGGTACGAATTGGGCTTGGCTTATCTTCTGAACCCTGCTTTTGATCCATTGTATTTATTGAAAGTATTACAAAACTTTCATGCAACCTGATGGAAACTCTTGCTAATATTTATGTAGGATAATAAAAGTTTTTAAAACACAATTTTTCTTGAAATACACTAAGCTATTCCTTCATTGGTATCTTTCAATTTTCTTGAAGGACACTGTTTTGTTAGTTATCTATTTGTGCTGGATATTCAATGTATACTAAATTATTTAAAATTCACAGGAATTCTATGAGGTCAGATATGATAATTCCAAATATGGGTGAGGGTGTGAAGGCCAAAAGAGATTAACTTGACTACAGCCACATGGGCAATAATGGGCAGCTCCAGAATTCTACACAATTCTGTCTGGCTCTAAAACTATGGTCTCAACTATTTATAACTCTGCACTGTTAAGAAATGGTTGCAGTTCTTGCCCCTTGGGTTCAAAATGAAAATGATTTAAATAAAGATAAATTGGGGCTACAATTCTTGAGTACATAGGGATAGTTCACTGAAATAAAAACAACAATGCTTCATATTTTCCAAGCCATTCTATGCAGTCTCACATCATGGAGACCAAAAAGACCCACCTCATTGATCAAAAGCTATCTACATGAACATGGACATTTAAAGTAAAATAATATTTTGATTGGGTCCAGTTCACTTGAATGAATACAGTGAAACCTCCCAGTATAATAAAACACCACAAAAACATGAGGTTAAAATGAACCTGAAATATTGTTCATTTTCTTTCTCTTCCAGAACTAAGTTTTCTTTCTCTAAGTTTTAGCAGCGAATAAAACTATTAAAATGCTTCTTAGGAGGCACAACTTTGAAGGATAATTACTTTCCATACCATTTCCTTTTGGTTGCTTGGGTTTCAGTTCAACATTTTGAGATGTTATGTTGTGGAAGGAAATAGAACAATTCAAGGAAAAAGTGTTTATTCTTTTTCTTAGTTTTGGGCAAGAGGCTTGATTGGAGAGAGAGGGAAAATTACTTTTTTTTTTTTGTCGATAAGATTTTCCAGTTTTTTATCTTGGATTTTCACTTTCTACTATTGAGTCTGTGTATTTTGGTCATTTTTGTTCTCAATATCATACCATTGTTTCCTGCACTTCATTGAATTCAGTTCATCTGAGAACCTCACTGACAACTCTTCTGTGACCTCCTTTTGTGATTTCTTCTGCAGTGTTTTCTTTTCCATATCTCTACCTTCACAGATTGACTTTGATTCCTGAATCTATGCGGATATTCACAGGACAGACATACAGTTTGTTCTTTAGTTGTACCCCTTTATTTAGGTTTAGAAATTACATTGTTTCTGCATTGCATTGCCTCAGGTGTTGCAAAGAACACTTTCTCTTCTGTGAACTTTGTTTCCTCCCTCCCCATTCCCATAGTTGTTTTCTTCCTTTTCACTTCTTATGTAGTATCCTTTTTAATTTCCATTTTCTTAGTTAATGTTAGTTATGTGTGACTCTCTTTTCTTTTTCCTGCTCAGGAGGGCTTAGTTACCATCTACTCCTCACACCCAAACTGTAATCCTGTTATTTAGAACCACTGTTGTCTACAAAGCTCTCAGTCTTTGAATATAGCAACATAATCTGTGTAATCAGCACCACGGACAGAGGTGCATGTAGGGATTAATGGCTTTAGAAGACAAAAGAATTGGCCTAAATTTAGTCATAAAAATAAAACCAAACATATCTCACTTTGTAAATCTGAAAGATTATTTTTTTCTCTAGGGTGTTATGACTTCACTTGGTATTCTGTAATAAAATGCTGACAAAAAGAAAAAGCAACTTTTGATACATTTTTAAGAAGAGAATTAAAATATAGTCATAGAGTTTTGAAGCAGAGGGTACTTCGGAGATGATCTAGTTCCTTTCATTTGTGTTATAAGGGATGGGGTTAAAGGACATATCCAAAGGCACCCAGCTCATTCATTTCAGAACTTGGGAATGAGACAGGTAGCTTTTCTTTTCTAATTTTATATATATATACATACACATATATATATTCATATATATATATACATATATATTCTAATATATATATACACACACACGTGTGTATATATACATACACACACACACACACACACACACACACACATATATATATATATATTTCAGAGAGGGAGAGAGATAGAAACATCAATGATGAGAGAGAATCATTGATTGGCTGCCTTCTGCAAGCCCCTTACTGGGGATCGAACCTGCAACCCAGGCATGTGCCCTTGACTGGAATTGAACCTAGGACCCTTCAGTCTGCAGGCAGATGCTCTATCCACGGAGCCAAACCAGAAAGGTAGCTTTTCTACTTTAGGTCATATAAAATGTTCCTGACAAAACAGTTAATCAGTTTAAAAACACCTAATCCCTTTTCTTAAAGTCACCAGAAAATAAATTAATCTTTTTCAATTTAACAAATTTCTATAGGTGGTTGAAAGGAACCACATTTTCTTATCACAGATTGCAAGTAAGAGGACTTCCTCTCTATCTCTGGCAAGATGCTCTCCAGCCACTTATACATACAGGACAATTCTAAGTCATTGTTATTAAGAAGGGAATTACTAATCTATATTTAAATCTGTAACCAGGGTTCTCAAATTTTTGGAATTAGTGTGGAACAAGGTGCCTAACAAATGTTAGATTTAATCATTATGAGTAGCCCACCATCAAATTTCCTTAGTGCACTATAATACTAAAACATAGGGCTTCCTAATTAAACTTGTGAGGGAAGAGGGAGAAAATCTAAATATACTAATAGAAACTTCTGAAAAATTATAAAGTGGAAAAGAAGGAACAATTATATATATATTCTTTGAAAATACTTAAGAATTAGCCATCATCCCTGTTATAAGGACTATGGTTTCTCTTATGCTTTCCCCAAATATGATTATGATGTCACTGATCTCATACAGAGGACGTTTGCTTTTTGAGTTGCTTTTGTTGGAATGTGTGACTAGAAAGCCCCTCATATAAACAACCAGTGCACATTTGCAAGATGGCTGTCTGGGGCCAAAGTATGGTCTATGGCCGTGAAATGAAGCAAAGCCAATTAGGCTGTATGTGGATCAAACCTGTGACCTTGACCTCATTAGCACTGTGCTCTGCCCAGCTCGACTAAATGGCCCCAGATGGTTAAACTTAATGTAGCATTTTGTGTACAAGTACCCTACAGAACATTCAGGCAATCCAAATTTTTGAACCGAGCACTTTTTATGTCTGGCTCCTAAATGAATGACATACAAAAAGAGCTTGATGTTTTTCTTCTTTCTTATGGTTAAAGAAGAATGGTGAATTTATTCTAGACTCCTTGAAACACAATACCTCTTTGGGTTGCTCCCTCTTCAATTATGAGAGTAGTTGTAAAGTGCCATATCCTGACCTCGCTTGCTTTGGCAAGTTTAACAAGCCATTGTGGTAGAAACAAGGTATTGCCCAGAGGCCACTAGAATTCATTTGGTATTTGCTCCCTATTCCACAGGGTCTTTCTCATGACACACATGTTGACAGCCTGAGAACTTGCAGAAATTTTTCTACATTTTACCCATTAAAAAAACACTTTGGTGGCCCTTTGTTTGGGAATGGTAGCACCTTCCTTCTTTTTTTTTCTTAAGACATTATTTTTAGAGTGGTCACTTTCAAATAGACTCAGCCAATCAGAAATATTTTATGATCAGCAACTAACAGCTGTGATAAGCTACTTGGAGAGTAAGATGATTATAAATTATTCAAGTATGGTAAGTATATGAGTATAAGTATATTCAAGAATGTTATAGCCTAATAAGAAATGTGTATGTATGGATTCATACACATCATCCATCTATCTAATTACAATGATAAAGCAGGGCATTGTATGTGCCCTTTGTGTATATGAATCATCAAATAGGTCAATGTAAGTTAAGAAGAGGTGCTATTTCAGCAATATAAGTCCTCAGCATATTTTATAGTGATAATTCCCAAAGTGAAAAAAAAATAAGCTAATTTTGAGAATTAGAGGACACTGAACTTTGGCGTGCTTAAAGTGCCTAATGAGAAGAGACTTTCTTAGCTTTTACTCCTGCTGCTTCTTCCCCTCTGATTGCTCGGCTTCCTACTTTATTCCCCATTCACAGGAGGATGTTTCCTGCCATGAGAGTGAAAATCACTGGTCTGGATCCACACCAGCAGTACTACATAGCAATGGACATTGTGCCTGTGGACAATAAAAGATACAGGTAATGAATGACTCTGAAATGTGGAATTGTGGGTATCACTAAAATTCCAGAACTATTCTTTAAACTCATTTGATGAAGCATTTTAACAGTGCACTGTATAATGCTCCGTACAGGGAATAAGGATGGAGAATATGCCAATGGCCTGTGGCAGAGCACCAGGCAGGAAGGAGTCACTAGAGGCAGGAAATCAGAACTCAGTAATGGTTGGGTCTGGAATCCATCTCCACTGTATCTCTGGAGAGAGTAGGATTGCATATAGTCTGCCAGGGTAGCAAAAATCCAATCCAGTGAAATTAAGTCTAAAATTACTTCTGTTAACATAGAAAGTAATTAACATATTGAATGATTTGGTTTATGAAATGCTGAGGTAAAATGATTGATTTTGAAGAAGGGAAAGAGAAGTGGACCTGTACAGTACATTCAATCATATATTTGATGGATCACCCTGTGGATGGTGGAGGAAAAGAATAGGAGAATTGGGTGAGACCTCAAGAAGAACATCTAGTTAGGGAGAGTTTTAATTCATTAATATGGGTTGCGAGTTTACTAAATATTTTTCCTTCAAAGTCATGAAAAGCCAACGTAGTCTCCATGTCTCTTGGATTGCTCACATGGAGTTCTTGTCTGAAATAAGTTGGGGCTTAATTGATCTCTTGAGATCTCAATCCAACCAGTGAATCATGGCTGATTTTTGAAATGCCTGAGAACTTGGCCCTAAATCCATGAATTTGGAAGAGAGAGAGAGATGAGTGGTGAAGACCAGGACTAGTGTGGTGGGTCAGAGAGTTGGGCCAGAGAGAAGTGGTCTTGAATGCAGGACTTAAGAAGGGAGAGGCTTCTAATCTTTTTAGAGGATCTTGGGAGTTGAGATTTGGACTGAGTGCCTCTGTTTGCCAGGACCCAGGGCCCACAAGCTCCTTTACTAAGAAACAGGAAGTGTCAGATCCATGGAGAGCACCCTTCAGAACTACAGGGCAATTGGCAAAGTCTGGAAAACTGACCTCCTTTGCTACCCAACAGCATCTCATTTCCAGTGGCTTTGTGGGAAAATAATGTGGGAGACGATGACGTTCAAAATAGAGTTCATCAAAGAAAACACTGGGAAGACTTGGTGTTGTTTCTGGGGATGGTTGCACTAAGGCAGAGACCCTCCATTTTCCTAGAAATGCCTCAAAATCAAGATCCCTGGCAAGGAAATGGTTAACAAGTGAGCTGCTTGGAGGGTCTCTGCACATGGCTGTGTTTTATAGGACGATATGGAAGATGTTTTTAATAAGGAACCAAATCCTGAACAAATGGCCAACGGGTTATATGGTTTGCATTTGGAAGGTGAAAGGTTGCAGTAAAATACCTTTTCCATAGCTAGGCACGTGGGTTAAGGATGCCTGTGTGCACACAGGGGTGCAAGGCAAGGAGAGGGGGAAGAAAGAAAAAGGACTGTGAGAATGTTTTTCTTGTGAAAGCTGCAGCTTTGATCATTAACCACAACACCTTTTTGCTCTCCCCCACCCCATCTCATTCTCCATTTCTCCTTATCTTTCCTTCTCTTTTTCTTTGTGTACTACTTCTCCATTCTTGTCATCTCTTTGCTCCTCTCTCCTGTCCCTACTTGCTCTCTGGACCGCTATTCCCTCTTTGCACACATCTCTGAATTCTCCTCTCTCCCTCTCTCAGATACGTGTATCATAGCTCCAAGTGGATGGTGGCTGGCAACGCTGATTCCCCTGTGCCACCAAGAGTTTATATACACCCTGATTCTCTAGCTTCCGGAGACACTTGGATGAGACAGGTGGTCAGTTTCGACAAACTCAAGCTGACCAACAATGAACTGGATGATCAAGGACATGTGAGTCAAAGAATCCCATCTCCCTCTTCCTCCTCCCTGCTCTTCCCTTTTTGCTTTAGAGCTGACTAGCCCCAGGCTTTTGCAAACAGGTAAAATAAGAATCTCCATGCCACTCAAAGTCATCTTAAGAAAATAAGCATAAAGTTTTTTTTTTATTCCTGTGACATTTCATTTATTACAAATCTAACATTTAGCAAACATCTGCTATGCATCAGGTTGTGTTTATTAGACAGAAGTCTTGTGCTCCAGGTACTCACAGTCTAGTCAGGGGAGAATTCAGAGACAGAAATACAGGACAAATAAAAAAATGGTGAAAGAAATCACAACATTCAGTAGAACAATGCACAGGGAAACAACTGAAGTGACAGTTTTGGCTGATTGTCAAGAGAAGAATTTATAAGAGAAGAATAGGCCCTAAGGCTTTCCAGGTATAATTAGATCACCTGATGCTATCAATTTACCTTTTGCAGTAAAACATATACTGAATTTTCACTGAATGCCATGATCCATATTGGGTGCTATGGGAAGATTGAAGGAGCTAAAACCCTGGCTCCTACCTTGAAAGAAATGACAATTTTCTGAGGAAGGGATAATGTACTTACACTACTCACTCTCGTGTGACATAAGAGAATGTCTATAAATTCAGTAACAAAGTGCAAATAATAGCTTGTAGAATGTAAAGACAGCGTGAGCCCATGTTGCAAATTTGAAGCAGGAGGGAACCACTGTTATGTGGCAGAGGTCTGGGACCTTTTAGTGGAGTGACGTCTTCTGGTACCAGAACAGTCCTTCAGCATTTACCCAGTTAAAGCAAGCATCCACCGCCCATGATCGGGATAATCTGCTATATGGTTCCATGTGATGCTTTCTAATCACTTAGTCCTGTCTGTGGTGGGCAAGTATACTGATTTCTGGTTTCTTGTACATCCCGCCCCCTGATTTCTGGTTTCCCACCCCCAATCTGTACTCTTTCTAAAATGCTTCTACTCTGTGATTTTATTTTCAGGAGAGCTTGAAAAGATGTAGGGACCTTAGAGTCAACTTTGGCTTAATGTTTCTCCTTCTCATTCCAGATCATTCTGCACTCCATGCACAAATACCAGCCTCGAGTTCATGTGATTCGCAAGGATTTCAGCAGCGACCTTTCACCCACAAAACCTGTTCCTGTTGGGGATGGAGTGAAAACGTTCAACTTTCCTGAGACTGTGTTCACCACGGTCACAGCCTATCAGAACCAGCAGGTAAGAGGCTTCCTTGAGAGTTCCTAGCGGTATCTCCTTTTAAAAGAGCTTATTCAGGAGGCTTTGGTAAGAAAGGCTTTGTCCTTCCACATGGCACTGGGGAGCATGGAATGAGAGACAGCAGGCTTGCAGGGCACACAAGGCACCCATGATGACAAGGCAGGAATGCCTAGGAGCAGCTGGCATGGTCTTGATTTAGATCAGAGACCAAATCTTTGCCCAGGAGGAGCAAACCTAAGTCATCTTCATGTCTCTCTGTACGTGTACCCATGTTTATAATCTCTACCACATCCTGGCAAGTGTTTCTCATTTGCAAGTTCTGAGGTTTGATCCATTCCTTCCCTCTTATCTGCACTTTTCCATGTATCCCAGCACCTGGCTACATTAGAGTCAACAGGCATCTAAAATTCCATTTAAGATCCATGGCTTCACTTACACTTTCAGATGAAATTTACCTGTGATCACCAGCTACACCCTAAGATCTGTATGTTTTAATGTCAGTAATATGTCCATTCATTCCATACATATTTAGTGGACACTGATGAATGAACTCATTAAGATCAGTTCTGGAGACCAGGAGGGTCACTATCATAGCTCAGGCTGAACTTAGAAAGCCACAGATCACTGTGACAATGAAAGGAAACTGAACACGGGTACCTGAAATCCCTTTCTCTTCCTCAAACTTCTCTCATAGGCATTGTCCTGTGTCTGTGTACATTCTCACTGTATAAATATTTTGTCTATATCTGGACTGGGGTAGGGGCTGTGGTGGTTTGGTAGGGGTGGGAAACCATAATTAAGATAATGAGATTTGACAGCAGACATATCTGGTTTGATTTATGACTTTTCTATTGATGAACTGTATGACCTTGAACACCTTTCTGACCCCCTTTCAACCTGTTTCCTGGTCTGAAGATGTTCTAGCTTCACAGAGCTACAAGGACTAGAAGAGGTAACATGTCTAAAGTCACTGACACAAATCTGGCGTCCAATTAATGGCAGTCAGACATTGCTAAATGACTGGGCCCATAGACATGAAGGAACGTGGGAAGTAGAGGTCATTTTAAAAGAATAAATTGCTCAGCCCCGACCAGTGTGGCTCAGTAGTTTGGAGCATCATCTCATGCACTGAAAGATAGCAGCTCAGTTCCTGGTCAAGGCACATGCCCAGATATCAGGTTCGATGTCCAGTCGGGGCGTGTTCTGGAGGCAACCGATCAGTGCGCTCGCGCTCTCTCTCTCTCTCTCCCTCTTCCCCACACCCTTCCTCTCTCTCTACAATCAATAAAAAACATATTCTCGAATGAGAATTAAAAAAAAAAGAATTGCTCATTAAGGAGAAAGGGGATTGTTGGGAATTGGAAGAGCTGCGTTGGCTCTTCAAGATATTGTAATCAATAGGTAACTACTTTGATCTCTCTGTTCTCGTGTCATGTTGGTGAATTCATGATGTGCTGACTTTCAAAATAGATGAGTCATACTCAATTCTGCCTATTCTGAAGTCAAGATAACAGCTTTTGCCTGTTTAACAAGCCTCCAGTCCCTGGATAAATCAACAAGCACGATTGTTTAACATTCCCTTTGGCTGCATAGATATGATTTAATATAATGCAGTGACTTACAATAAAGCAAACTAACCTCAGCTCTTTCCCCCAGGAATCTTGAGGTTTGCATCCTGTAAGAGAGCTGTGAGCGAACAATAATTTTCAGACTTGTTTCGAAGATGCTGGGCAGCATAAACGGTTCTCTTTTGTGAGCTATATGCACCTATTACTGTGTTTTTATTGCCCTCAACCTTCCAGAATGAGAACAATTAATATTTTATGGCCAAACTCCTTATACTTCTTTTTAAGAGAATGGTTAGGAAGCCTATCAGAGTAAAGAGGAAAAAAATGAGTGGTAGGTTTATTGTTCTCAGGAGCTTGTTTGCAGTAACACAATGAAGAAAGTAGGAGAGCAGAACTGAAATGAAATGTTACCCAGTTTCCTAAAGAAGGTGTCTTGTCCACAGAAAACAATGGGCTAGACATTTGGAGACCTGGGCTTTAGTCCTAAATTTCCCACTAGTTACCTGTGTCACTGGGCTCTGTGTCTTTCTGGGCTTCAATTTCTTCTTCAACAAAATGAGCAGTTGGCTTATGCTTTCTAAGGTTTCTGTTAGCTCTGAATTTATAATTTCTCCCTCCTTCCCCCCTGCATGTTTTTTTTTTTTAATGAAGGTTGGGAGCAATTTATCGTTATCAAACAGAGGCAATAGACATGTGATTTTCAACTATTAAAAATTATGAATGTTCATGTTTGTAAACTTGTTTAAACCCCCACAATATTTTAGACCAGTGTAGTTTTAGCAAGTCCATCCTTGAGAGGTGGGAACATGGTGTTTTGTTGCTGGTAAACCAAACACTGTAACCTATACTATTCATTTGTGTCTCCTCCCATCCTCTCCATTGTTAACAATGCTTTCTATTGACTTCCATCTTGTCACCAAGGCTGGACACCTGACTCTCCCACATCCAATCTACCATTAAACTGATGCTTCTACTGATGCAGTATTTTCTTCTTTCTAATCTCATTGCTTCTGCCTTTGTTCTGGACCTGCCCCTTTTCTCCCAACCTTGGGGTGTTGTGATAGCACCCGGCAGAGTCACCTGGACTGCAAGTTCAATGTCTCATTGCCGGATGGATCTTCCAAAAGCACAGCTCTCACTGCATCATTTCTGTGTCAGAAATTGTCAATGACTCCTCAGTGCCTTGGGAGCAAAGTCCAGGATCCCAAGTCTTTCAATTAAGGTCCTCTGTGCCAATTACCAACTACATTTCTAAGCTTATTTTTAATTAATCCTCATTAAGCATCCACAAGAGTTCAGCAATCTAGTTAGAATTTTACTATTTGTACTTTGCAGCTGCCTTACTTTTGCCTATGTTCTTGTCTTTGCAGAAATGCGCGCCCCTCTTCATCTTTATCTGTCTAGCGTCCTTCTATTCAAGTTTGGTGCAAATACTATCCCCCACCACCTTCCTTACTTTTTCAGGTGCAAATGAGCTTTCCCTCATGAAAGTGTTAGTGAGTGTACCTCTCTCATGACCCTATCACTTGCTGACCTGTGTATGTTTGTTCAGTCTTCCTCTCAATATTTTAAGCATTTTAAAAACAAAGGTTGAATGTTCTACAAAAAACAGTGAGACATGGTAGAAAACACCAGGTTGGTAGTTGAGACTTGAGCAGTAGACCCAGCTCTGCAGCGGATGAATTGCACTGCCTTTGACGAATCCCTCCACCTCAGTATTCTCATTTGCAAATCGGTGGTTTGGTCTGAATCAGTGTTTCTATGTCCTCAAGCCAATGGAGAAGGTTTTTATGGTCCATTGAAAGGTGAGAAAAATAGAGACAGTGTAGAGACTTTTCATACATGTAAACATTCATTTTAATAGACTATACAATTTTTATTTTTGTCCTTTCAACTTTTTTGATGCTAGAGTGTCAAATAATGATGGCAAGAGATAGTGGACGTTAACTCCCTTCACTTGGTAGAATAAAAAATTGGAATATCAATGTTGATCTCTCAAATATTGGAAGGGGGAATTAGAATTGTGAAGCCCAGAAACCACTAATTTAAGATGAAGGACAATTTCATCTCCATAATTCTAAGACATTTGTGTCTGTCCCATAGTGCAGAGCTCTGAATATTTCCTTGGAAAATGGCTGAATGAATGATTAGTCAACACCATTCTACTACCACTGTCTTTATATATCTGTGGTTCTGCTTTTTTGGATATAAATAGTAGTGAAGTGTGAAGAAAGGGTTTCTATTCCATGAAATATCTTATGCTTTTCTTTCCCCTATTCCCATTTCTTCCTTCCCCCCTCTCGGACTGACCCATAGACTCCCGGGGCTGCTAGCATACTGAAGTTATTATTACTGCTATTTGCTCACAGTGTGCCAACTTGGCCAGCCTGTGGCAGAGGGGAAGGTACCCCTTGCCCAGAATCTCATCGTGGAGAATAAGGTGGTAGAGGTTGGAATAAAGGTGACTCCACACTTTATGTGTTTTCTTGGAAGAGGCTGATGCCAACATGTTCTCATGGAATTAGCAGGAAATTTCCATTACAGAATCTGTCTTCTCTAGGGGAAAAAGCCTGCTGAACCTTGAGGGTTTTTTATTTTTCCCAAACAGGAAACTAGATTTCCAAAAAGATATAGCCCCATTCTCCTCAGGTAACACAGTCTTATTTCTTGATGAGAATTGGCTACAGGAACCAGCTAGGAAGTCTGCAACCACAGCCAGGTTTGTGTAAGCAAATCCAATAGGATTTCTGAGTCACTCATTATATATTAAACTAGTGAGCCAGTTTTACCGTAACTTTCCAATCAAATCAGTGTAGAATTTTCTTTTTCATACAGGCTAAGGTTTAAAAAAAATCCCAGTGGAATACCCTTCAAGCAGGATGATAAAAAATAAGCATAACTAAGAGAGTGTTAATAAGGGCAGGCCCTGTCCTGTAAAAACCATACTAAAGATTTAACTTTCTTTGTAGGTTGTGTTATTTATGTCTGCACTCTGCGTTGTGAGGTATATCTCATTTATTAACTGCCTCTATGTTACTAGGCAAAAAAGTCAGTGAAAATGATTAAAATGAAAGGTGGCAGGCCAGCAGCCACTCCCTTATGTGCCACAGCCTCCAATAACTCAGACTGCACCAATCAGTGTAAGGTTATGGAAATAAAATCAGTGAACAAAAATTCTTCCATAACCTCTGTATTTTCCATGTCTCCTCATTATCACTGGACCGAGTTTGCATATAACTCCTGTAGAGTAGCTTTGGCTGCACGGGAAGCTACTAATGGATCTTGTTCTCACTGGAAGAACATTTAAGACTTTTGTCTGTAATGCCTGCAGTGAAAGCAAATAGGATTGAGGGAATTGTTTGGTCTGTAGTTTTTAAGGCTTGTTATGGTGTTGGGACTGGTGACCT